AAAAAAAAAAAAAAAAAAAAAAAAAAAAAAAAAAAAAAAAAAAAAGGAAAAACCCTGCCTCAAACTCTTTCCCTTCACTCAATTTACCTGGGGTAAAAGGCAGTAAGGGCTAGAAAGGTTATCTCCCCCAGTCCACAGGAAATACTAGTCAGGACCACACCTAGAGATAGGAAGGTGGGGACAGAGAAGGGGTCAGCCCCATGGAATTGACCAAATCTTTCTCCTCATGTAGCCCTGACCTTGTGTCATTTTGCCCTAACCCTGCCACCCCACAATCGTACAAACTAAACCCTCCTGTGGTCTAGTCTCCCAACCACACAACTCACCACTTAGGCTGGTCATAACTTCCTGGGAAAAGGCAACCAGAAGGAAGCTACTAGCAGTACAGGCCCCACAAAGGATAATTCGAGGGCTAGAGAGAAAGGTGATCAATTAGTCCTTCCCTCCTCCAATTTTAACCCCACTGAACTCTCAGATCATGACCTTTTTTACCTGTTTCCAGCATTCTGCTTCTCTTCCTCCCCCTTACCACCCAGATCCCATCTTAAAGTCACTTAGAAGCAGAAGAGACCTTAGTGACACCTAGACCAAACCTCCTATTTTAAAGAAGAAGAAACTGAAGAATACACACAAGTGATTGGCTCAAAGTCATACAACCAGACATGGAGCTAGAACCACTGCCCAGGTCTCCAGGCCAGTGCACTTCCACAGAATCATACGGTTTAGAGTGAAAAGGAATGAAAGAGATCATCTGCTCCAACCTTATTTCACAAATGAGGAAACTGAGGCCTAGACAAATTAAGTGACATGCCTGAAGTCACACTAAACTATACCATCTTCCTCCTTTTCATTTCTACCCTACCCCCATGTGCTGCAGACCTGTAGGGCAGCAAGTGAAGGCCGAAAGGAGCAAGCATCTTGATAATGAATGTAGGCAGAATATCAGCCAGGAGGACAGCCTAGGATAGAAATTATAAATAAGATTTCATTCTTAACCCTTTGGATAATCCAGGGCCAGGGCCCCAGAGATCAAAGATTACCCTGATGAGTCAGAGCACAGAAAGTAAAAAAGGCTGTCTTGTATGGAGTAGATAGACAGATTTCTTTTAGTTGCCAGAACGGCAGGGCACTCAGAGCTACAGGACCTTAACTAGGTGAAATGGGGACTGGAGTAGAAGGCTTCAGGGGATCATGAAGGACACTCACAGCTGTCGACACAGGGTTGCAGTCATATCGAGATGTACTGTTGTGAGAAGTGGGTGTTGGCTCTGGATCCACCTGAATGAAGAAAGGAAAAGTCTGTTAGCCAATGTCTTAACAAGAACTGCTACTCCTTTGTAGAGTATTTCAAAGCAATTTTCTCAGAGCAACCTTCCCCCAACTCTGGGGGAGGTAATCTACTCAATGATGGATCTAGCACTGGGGTAAACTGACCAAGACTGAAGATTGAAGGTTAAGTACCTCAAACCTCACCCTTTTACAATGAGCCAAGCCCTAGTACTCCCCTCCTCCCAACCCTGACCATTATGAAGGTCTCTCCTCTCCCCTTCCCATCCCATGCTTTCTACCTCTTACTGAGGGAACAAATACCAATGCTCTAGAGAAGGGTGTGACAAGTGACAATTTACAGCTCTATGTATCTACTCAGAATCCCCGTGTTCTAAGTCTAAGGCTGTCTAGGGAGAAAGTTCCTTTCTCTGGCCACCACTCCCCATTCCCCTTCATATCCATCCATGTCTGCCCCATCCCTCCCATATCCTTATCCCACTCTATCCTAACATTACACTGTGCTCTCTGGAACCTTCATTTGATTATTAGGAAACTGCCCTTCATATTACATTCATACTCTTCTCCCCTTGTTGTTATTCAGTCGTTTAGCCGCGTCTGACTATTCTGACCCTATATGGGTTTTTCTCGGCAAAGATTCTGGAGTGGTTTGCCATTTCCTTTTTCAGTGGATTAAGACAAAGAGAACTTAAGTGACTTGGCCAGGGTCACACAGCTAGTGTCTGAGGCCAGATGTAAACTCAGGAAGATGAGTTTTCCTGACTCTATCCACTGTGCCACCTACTTGCCCTATTTATCAATACATAAGCCCATAGCATAATCAGTGCTCAATATGCTACATAAATCAATGAATGAATGCTGTTCTTGCCAGTAATTCAACGTGTAACTGTGGATTAGCCTTTGTGGCCCCAGTTTCCACCTCTGAAAGATAAGGATGACCCTCCGTTGTCTAGAATACCTAGATGATGCTTAAGGTCCCTTCCAGCTTTAAACTGGAAGCCCTATTATAACTGGTAACTCACATGGCTGTTATTTTCAGGTGCCCTCTGGTTCTTGAGGATGTCATGTGCAGCACTGAGCATCACCACATAGGAGAAGTTGTTGCAAAGACCTAGGAGCCTAGAGGTGAAAAGGGAAGCATCGCTCAGAAGACAACTTCCTTCTGAACCCTTTTTGCTGTCTATTTCTCTCTAACCAGCTTTTACCTCCTCACCACACCCAGCTACCAACATTTTACTATTTACAAAATGACTTCCATTGTTTTTCCTCTTTCTTCTCTGCTCTTCCTGTCCCTTTCTCCAATTTCTCAAAGGCTCAGATTGAATCCCTACTCTTCCACGAAGGCCCCTTTGACTATCCTACCGGGAAGCAACTGTTTCATACTCTAACAACACAGGGCACCTATCTGGCCTACTACTAATTTAATTCTTAGCATATACTGCTTTGTGATAGAGATCCTATTACTGTCCTTAGAGTTGCAGTCTCAGCTCTACTGCAACACACTTGGCCAAACAACTTCACTTCTCTGTATATCAGCCTCAACTGTTAGACTATGTAAAGAAAAGATCTCTAAGATCTGGGTAGCATAGGGAAAGAAAGATTAGATTTGGAGTCAGGAGACCCAAGTCCTAGCCCCAGTTTATTCATTACTCATTAACTTTATATAAAGAGCCTACTAAGTGCAAAGCTGTGCATTAAATACTGGTTCTGCCACTAAGTTCCTCTACAGATTTCACCTCCCTAATCTGTAAAATGAATGGATTGAGTTAAATGAGCCAACATATTCTTAACACAAAATCTTCAACTACAATTCAACTTTTCATGTATTTATATTCTATTTTGTTTCCCCCTGTTGGAACGTATGCTCTTTGAAAGCAGGGACTGTCTTGCAGAAACAGAAAACTATTTATATTCCCAGAGTTTTTACTGAATAAATGGTTCCCCAACCCTCATTCGTTCATTCATTCATTCCATCTAAACACCTAGACTATAAGCTGCTTCAGGGTAGGAATTATTTCTTAACTTCTGTCCTTCTCCTCTCTCATCCACTTTATTCCTTCACCCCTCTACTTTTTCTTTTCCTAACCTACCTCTGTCCATTTCGCTCCTCCTCCTGGGGTCCACTCTGGTCCCTTCTCCTCTATACCCTCTGATTTCTCCCACAGTCACTCACCAAAAACCTATCAGGTTTCTCCAGTGGACAGACTGAGTCTCTGGTTCATGGGAATTTCTAGGAAGAAGCTCCTCTCCTAGGAGAGGAAGGACAAAAAGAATCTTTAATTCAATTTAGCAAGCAATTATTCAGCACCTATTATATACAATATCCTGTGTTAGGCATTGGGGGGGGGGGAGCTGTCCTTGCTCTTGTGGAATGTATTGCCTAGGAGAAAAGCTCTAACTTATATACAAATAACTATAATGTAAAATAAATTATAAATGCACAAGACTGTACAAAGATGTATGTGAGGTCTGAAAAAAAATTTTTTTTAAACTATGGGGAATCCAGGAAGGCTTCAAAAAGAAACCTAGCCTTGGAGAATGGGTAGCATTTCCATAGAAAGAGCTAGGAGTTAACAAAGGGATACCCTCCCAAAATACATGTCCAAAAATACAAATTCAGGAAAGCATGGGATGTGTGGATGGAGAGAAGTTCACTTCAATCCTCAAATTCTATCAATTGCAGCTCAGTATTATGAGCTGTGAATGGGCTATTTGATATACAATAGCTGGGTTATTAATATCATTTTGGCTCTAAAGGCTTATCAAGTGTTTTATACACATAATCTCATCTGATCCAAAATCTAATAGCAATCTACCAAAATTAAGCTGTGCTGGGGAGACATACAAAAGTTGAGACAAACCATATCCTCAAGGTGCTTACATTTAACTGCGTGAAATAGGTACTAAAGGCACTGTTACAAATACTATGAACTAATTCTTATATGGTTTTAAGTTTTAAAGCACTTTCCTTAAAACGACTTTGTAAAGTAGACATTGCCCTATTATCATAACCATTTTACAGATAAGGAAATGGGAGCTCCAGAGAGGAATGATCCACCCATCAAAGAACAGCTACAGGATAAAGGAAAAACTGCTGGGCTTGTAGTAGAGATCTGGATTCAAATTCTAGCTCAGATATTCCCCTAGCTATGTAATATTGGGTAAGTCACTTCACAAAGTCACTGAACTTATTGCATTCATAAAATTGTAAATTTAGGGGGCACCTAGGTGGCCCAGTGGATAGAGCTCTGGCCTTGGAGTCAGGAGGACCTGAGTTCAAATTTGGCCTCAGACACTTGACACTTACTAGCTGTGTGACCCTGGGCAAGTCACTTAACCCCACTGCCTAGCCTAAATAAATAAATGAATGAATGAATGAAATTGTAGATTTAGAGTTGGAAGGTACTTTAGGCCATTCCTATCTCTTCCCCTCCTCATCTCGCGTTTTATGAGGAAGATGAAGCCCGGGGGGGGGGGGGTGAAACAACATTCTCTACTTCACAGAGGTGACCACAGGGGTTTAGGGAGGATTCGAACTCGGACCTGACCACATCAGCACTCTTTCCACCATCACCCCACTCCGTGCTTATCGGCAACATGGGATGACCATACTCGTTATCCAGGCCTGTCCGGGTCTCTCTGGACATCAGACGCCGGGAGCAGAATCCCAGAGGGGCCCTTGGTCAGGAAATACTCACTCTCTGAATCTGAATGCTGCTGCCACGTGTCCGCAGACGCCATGGTGGGGTCTGCAATCACCAGCGGTCAAAGCCTGGCCCCGGACAGGAGATCCCGGCGGTCTCATCCGACTTCCGAGGGGCAAAAGGGAGGTACTGGGCCAGGCCAGCTGACCCACTCGCTCTCCAGTCGGGCGTCTTTCCTCCTCCTCCGAGGCTGCAGGACGTGGCTACCGTCGCCCCATATAAGCTAGCTGGCCAGCGCCCACCCCTCAGGCACTTCGAGCCAGTGCAGAGAAGACCCGGGCAAGCAACAAACAGGTACCAGTTTAGGAGTCATGTGATCTTCGCGAGGCGCTTCCGGTCAGGTGGAGCCTCCCATCCGGTTCCTCCCGGCAGACTCTAGTCCTCAGCTAAGACACTCAGAGAGGGGCCCAAGGGAGCGCCCCGAGGCAGGGCCGGGCGGGCAGGCAGCTAGCGGCAGAGCCGAGCTCATGGACGTCCTGACTGGCGGGGTCGGACCTGCCGTGAACCTTGCTTGCCCTTTTGTGGCTCCAGAGCCGTTTGGTCCATTGCCAGTTGGAGTCAGGGAGGCCCCCTCCCCGACCACTTGCTAGGAACAAAGATGGCTGCGTCCCGCTGCGATCCTTTACCTTTAAAATCCTAACGTAGATAGAGCAAGAAGTGAATGCGATCCCTCCCTCCTGCAGTCTTCACAGAGCATCTCACAGGAGCTCTCCTGGTCCTCTCTCCTTTGCCCCTTGTCACACCCCACTTCGTATTGTGAGAGGGTGGGCCAAGTAGTGAACTGTGAGGCAGAGCCTAAATGCAATCCCGCCCCGACCCTAGCTAGCCATATGGCCTGGTCTTAACCTCTTCCAGCTTTGATGGATTGTTGTTAAAGTGATTTGTAAGCCTTAAAGGGCGAAATAAATGTTAACATTTCTTGTGGCAGCTCGGTGACAATTAGGTGCAGCGCTGAATCTCTCAGGTCAGAAAAACCTGAGTTCAAATCCAACTTTAGACACTAGCTGTGAGATCCTTGGCAGGACCTCAGTTTCTTCATCTATAAAATGAGGATAATGATTCTCTCTCCCCCACCCCTCGTAAAGATTGTAATCTGATACTTTTTAATTTAAATTTCCTTCAGTAAATATAAACAATAATACCAGTGTGTTTTTCTTTTGGATCACATATGTGGGAAGGAGATTAGACAATACGGAACAGGGACAGGAGACAATTGTGGTAAATTTATGAAATATTGCGTGATGATGATTTTCCATTGTAAAGCCTAGACTTAGCCTAGAAGGAGGTGAAGGTATTTTCCAGTGTAAGCCTAGAGATCCAGGCTAGAAGAAAAAGCACCCACGAGAAAGCAAGCCCCGGGTAGCGATAGCCAAAGCTCCCTCGACTGCGCACTGGTGGCATATCTTAAGATTTCACTCTGGGTGACTATTAAAAACCCTGCTCCCCTACTCTCGTACCCTAGTCAGAAAAAAAAACAACCAACCTGTTCAATCATTGTACTTACCTTTACATCCATTGAATTGAATTAGAATTAGAAGGGAACTTAGGTGTTAAAGCAAAAGTGCTTGAATGTACTCCAATACACTGCCAGAGGGTGCATTAACAAGTGGAAACAGATACACTACCAAACTGCTACAGGAGCCCTGCCCCTCACCAAAAACAGAAGAAAATAAACCAACCCTGCTTTGTAGATGACCTCAGAGCTCAGAACGGGATCAAAGGATCATAGATTTGGGTCTAGAAAGAATCTCAGAGGTCATGTAGCCAGCCCCTTGTCATAGAGATGAAGAAACTGTATCCCAGAGCAATTTGTTGCGGGTCACAGAGGTAGTAAGTAACAGCACTAGAATTCAAATCATAGTCTTCTGACCCAAATCTAATGCATTTTTAAAATGTTTTTAATTAATGAAAAATTATTTTCTTTTCACATCCTCCTTTAGAAAACAAAACCCTTGCAGCAAATATGAAGTCATGCAAAAAAAAAATGTCCTGCATCCAATTCACTTTTTACTATATTACGATGCCTTTCACTGAGGTTTTATCCCTCCCAAACCCCACCTCTCCCTGTTAAATATGACTAAAAAGTCTGTCATCTACTAACAGGACCCTCCCTCCCACAATATAGGCATAGAGTTCCAGCATCTACCAATTACAGTCCAGAGTCCCTCACTCTGCCCCAGGAAGTGTTCTAGGCATCCCCCAAAAGAATTCAGTGCTCTGAACTCTGACTTCCCCTCACTTGCCCCCCCTACACTTTGTGACCCAGAATTCTCTTGAATTGAATGTAGGGTCCCAAGAAAGCAACCCCAGGCCGAAGGCATGCCTTGAGCCGGCATCTATTCAAAATCATAACTCTTATGTGCCAATTTCCTTTTTACTAGACCAACCAGAAGACACATTAGTTTAAAAGAAAAGATACTAATTAAATAGCATAGCAAGATAAATGACAAGGAGAAAAAAAAAACCTTTGCCCATACACAGGAACCTACAGATTTTCACATTTGTTTTTTTCTACTGGTTAGAGAGGGAACACACATATCAATACACTCCAAAGTCCTTCTGATTATAGTTCTCTGCCTCTAAACCTACCATTTGCTTTTCCCCCATAGGACTGCTCATGTTATCTGTTCTGATGATGTCATCAAGCTGTGATAAATGATACTGATGTCTTCTGTTAGGCTGTTCTCCCCCAAGCTCTACTGCCATCTGTTGGTGCTCTTTGACCACTGGGGAAGTGGGCTCAACTCTTTTTTAGTTCATAGTCCCAGGACCATCTCAGTCCTTATATAAATCAGACCCACATCGGCAATCAAATACCCAGCAGAAGCCCTTAAGCTAATGTGACATCTGATTCTTGAAGTACTTTGCTACTGTCTAAGCTGCCATTTCTTGAGCTCAGTCTTCTATTTGACTTAGAGTGAGCACATGTTTCTCAATTCCCATCAGTGCCCTAGATACTAGCATGGGTCCATGGGTGTCACATTGAGAATTTCATCCAGCAAGATTGGAGGGCTAAGGTGAAGCTGGTAACCTTTGCCTTGACTTCCCACGGGCACTAAACTCACTGTTCTTACTCCATTTGTTTCCCCTTCCCCCACTCACAGTCCCTCATCTTAGATGGAAGCAGGAACCACAAACCCCAACTTCCTCTCCCAGAGGGGCCTGTGGTTTGAGTTGGGGCTAGGGGGTGCTGAAACAGCTGAGGTGTATTAGCACAAGAAGTTGAGTCACCAAAGCTTTAGTTTCCATGTTTCTTATCCCCACCCTCCCCAATCGGGACAGCTTTCTGCTCTTTTCTTTTCTCTCCAGCCTTAGGTCCCCTCTCCCCAATTTGTATCCTGCAGCCTGTCCATGCACTTACAGCTCCCAGATTTAAAGGGGGCAGGTACAGTTTTGTATTTATTGAAGTACAGGACTCTATAGCCTATGGTGTTTGGGGGTGAATGGGAGGGGTCAGGGCAGAAAAGGAAGTAGCAACACTAGGGGGAAGGTAGGATGACTGAGGAGGGGAAGGTCATTACAGGCTTTCTGCTTGGACAAAAAGACAGACCGATGGAACTCCTGAGACTTCACTTCCCTGGGGTGCACCGTGCCCTGAGGGATGCTCTGGTGAGAGGGGCAAGGAGATGTCAGGGTTTTAGACCCCTTTCCCTAACATGTGAGGTCAAACACCCTTTCCCCAACCCAGAATCCTAGATCTATGCTTTTGGGGAATCAGATTTCTTACCCCAACAAGATCCCTGATTCCTGTCCCAGTTAAAAGAACCTTTTCCTCCTGGAAACCCAGACCTCTATCTCTTCTTTGTTCCAATTTCCCTGATAACAATCACCTTCACTCTCAACACAGACTCACTTTTCTTTTTATGCCTACTGTTTGTGTTGTCCTTTCTCTTCCTGCAGGACTTACTGTATCTTATTCCCTCCCCCACTTTCCGCAGACCTCTCATAGCTGCCTTGCCTTTGCTAGCTCTCTCTCTCTCTCTTCTTTCTGTTGAAACACCTCTCTAAACTGAGCTCCTCACTCTTCTTGTCCTGGTACCCACAGTTTCTCTTTCCCCCTAGAATCATGATGTAGCTGGAACAAAAAGTTGAGGTGAGGGAGGTCACTATTCTCTGCCCTCATACTTCATCCCTGCCTCCTTTTCTCATTCCAGGACTCCCTAAGCACCTTTGCTTCCTACTTCTTAGGGGACGCAGTTCCCTCTGCAGAGGAAAGGGAGGAGAACCTCAGCAGGAGAGATGGGGGGAGAGGGGAGGAGCTCTGGGAAATGACTGCAGAAGGGGGCCAGCAAGCGAAGGAGTGTAAGGGAGCACTGGAAGAGGAAGGGATCAGCCCCAGAGATCTGGAAGATGCTTTTCCCTCTAGAGGGTCCGAGTCCGGAGAGGCTTTGGAGAAAGGGAAAGAAAAAAAGGCCAGGGAAATCCAGGAATCAGAGGCTGAGGGAATCTGGGAGATAGGGAAAGAGACTGGGGCATGCCTGAGTGAGGAGACGACCAGGGTCTGTAGAACTTGGGACAGCAGCAACGAGAATTCCAAAGAGGTTAAAGGAGAGATCAGAGGGAACGACAAGATAGAAGTCCGAGGAGCAGAGCCCAAGCAAGGTCAAAAGACAGATGCAGTAGAGGCTAGAGAATGCAAAAAGGAAGCACTCTTGGCTGAAGGATACCCGGGGACAGAAGGATTTGCCTCAGAAGAAAAGGGTGGCAGAGAGCCAAAAGCACAGGGCAAGAAAAATCAAGAGCCTCATAAGAAGGAAGTCAGTGTAGGGAAGGCTGAGAACTACTGGGAAAGGGAGGAAACTGAGCCTGTGGGAGAACAGAAGGAAGAAGTCAAGGAGATAAAGCCAGGAGATCTTGAAGAAAGGACTTTGATAGCCTTCGGGATGGAGTCTGAGTATGGAATAATGTGGGAGAAGGAAAAGGACAGGCAAACACAGGAGGCAGAAGGAAATATCAGAGATTGGCAAGAGACAAGAGAAAGTGAGAAAGCCCAGAGGATGAAAAAAGGAGAGCCAGGGAATGGCCAGAAGACAGAAATGGAAACCAGGAAAAGTCATGAGACCAAGAAGGGACCTGATAGAGCACTGGGGGTAGGATTTGGGAAAGATGAGAAAGTAGAAACTCCTGAAAAACAGGAGTTAGAGAAGCATGAGGTCAAGGTAGCTTGGGAGGCTGAGAAGATTGAGATCAGATGTGCAAAAAAGGAAATAGAAAAGAAAGTGGCTTGGGAAGTCCAAGGTGTAAAGCCAGTGGATATAGATATAGAAAAACTACAAGGAATCCAGGAGCCAGGAGAAAAGACTGAGAGAGAAGACAACATAAAATC